ACTTAGGGAGCGTTTAATAACTTCTAGCTTCTAGTGTTTGACAAAACGCTCCGTTTTGAACAGAAAGTCTCGTTTGACTCTACAAGCTTCTAGTGTTTAGTTTAAACAAAACGCTTCAAACTCAAATGTTACTTCACGTAACGTTATCTAGCTACCCGCTACTAACAGTTTTTGCCGAACACGCTATAAATATTTGTTCTAGGTTCCTCACGTAACTCAAATGCTATAAGTGTTATATCTTTTAAAGCTTTTTGTTTGACATTTCAACAAATATAATATGAAAAAATAAATATTCTCCTATATTTTCTTCCTACTTATCATGTTATCCATGTGAAATTGTGACACGTGTCATATTTGGATTAGATTAATGATATTTTAATACACTTGTCATCATTTCAAATATTCATATTCTAATCTTCCTATACTAATAAAAAAGTAGTTTGTTTGTCATGTATCATCATGTTAGACATTGTAATTAATATCATGTCACTTGTCAATCTATTAATTATCCATTTCAAATTTTATATTTTAAATTTCTCATTTTAGTTACATTAAATTAGTAATATTAGAGTAAAAAATAAAATAAAATGTATATAAATTATAAGACGATATAATTTTACGTATTTGTTTGAATCAACGATTATAATTTTATATATAACTAAAAATATCTCTTAATTAATAAGTTATTTAAAATAATTAATTAATAGTTTTGATTTTTTACTTAAAAAGTTTAATTAATTTATTAACCGTGATTCCCATGTGTTATAAAGTAGTATTCTAATAAATGAATAGTTTTAATCTTCTGTTATTAAATGTCAACTTCTCATTAATATTATATCATGTGTCATGTAGATATATTAAGCAGCTCATTTCACAACTCAAATTTACATTTTCTAATTATATATTAAATTTGAAGTTATAATAACTTTAAAATTTTGATATATCTCTTAATTAATAATTTATTTAAGATAATTGATTAATAATTATAAATTTTTATTATAAAACTTTAATTAATTTTATAACCGTGAAATGGGTTATAAACTATATGTAGGAAGAAAAATAGGACGATATTTAATTTCTCATATGGCATAACTTAAATACATACATTATCCACTTTAAACCACATAAAAAACCCGACAAATTGTGTGGAACTCAAGCTTCAAAATAAGATCCTATATCACAAAACTTACTGATTATACTTCCGTCGCAACGCACAGCTTCAAAACCTCGTTATTATAGATGGTTTTATATACTAAAAAAACTAATGTTTTAAAAATCGGTTTTTTAGTTGAACGGATATGACGATTAGTTTCCGGTTCAACCATCGGGTCAACCCGATATCTAGAATATTCATGTATTTTCTTATTTTTATGTATACACAAAAGTTCTAACATTAAAAATACATATAAAAACAAGTTGTAGATCACTCTAAAGACATTAAAAATATATACATAACCATTCGTTTTACATCAAAAAAATAAAATAAAAAATATAACACCGACACAAAATATAGTTATAGATATATACACACATCAAAAAACTTCATAACATTTATCATATTTTTTTATGTTTATGAGAGATTTATATAAATGTGAAACAACCACCAAAGTTTGTTATGCAAAATGTTTCATTTCCATATGTTTATTATTTTTTATTCAATTCATCTGGTTCAACCGATTGGTTTGATTTTTTTGTAAAAACCAATCGGTTAGTTCCGATCTAGAAATAGACTTAAAACTGGTATTAGTTAAATCGCTCCCTTCACCGGTTCCCAGTCCAACCTGTTCAACCGGACGGTGTGAACCTGTTTTTAAAACATTAAAAAAGAACCCAATAATACTTGCTTTTCTAACACAAAGATTGTAAATTTAATCATATATTTAAGTTTTTTTTTTAAACAACCCATCTTACTGAGAACCTTTTGCAATTATGTAATATAACAAGTAGATAACGAAACAATTCTAAACTGTAATATGAAAATGGATCAAGTAGAGTTTAAATTTTTAAATCAATTTACCAATTTACTAAAGTTTACAACATGCAGGTAAAATCAAATACCATTGTTTTTTTTTTTTTTTCAACCAACAGTTAACATATTATGTTAAAAAAAATATATGAATATGTTACCCCTAAAATAAAACAGAATTCTCACTTGCTTGGATTGTGCATACAGGCACTTTACTTACTGATGTTACAAATTAATTTTCTTCTCATGACCTTAAATCTTTTTTGAAGTTCCTAATTAACTCTTTATAACAAAGTACAATCCTACTGCATATTATCTCATGCCAACTGTACGTACATCCGCAGCATCACACTAGTTCTTAACAAATGGTATACCACATGGACCAGATTTGTACTTTACTCAAAATGTTTGTATATAATGTGATCGATAAACCTCCAGCATTCCTATTTGACTCTTGTTCAAATTCTACAAGAGAGGATTGCTATTTACCTTCTGAGCTTTTTACAATGACGAGTCTTGATGCAGGCATACTTCCAGTTCCACACAATATTTCGGCTTTTACAAAAGTACATAATGTAACTTCAACTCCTTTGTCTATACCCCGATCTCATGGTCGATCACCAAAGAGAAAAACTAAAGTTGCAATAGTTCTCAGTTCCACAATTGGAAGTCTTATACTTGTTATTGTGGTCGTAGGTTTTTACTAAATTCATAGTTCAAAAGAAAAGTATGGATAGTGAAAGTGAAGAAGAGTATCTAGATCAAGTTTCAGGAATACCCACTCGGTTTTCCCATGAAAAACTAAAAACAGCCATAAAAAGTTTCAGTAAAAAGCTTGGGGAGGGGGGATTTGGATCAGTTTTAGAAGGGACTCTCAAAGATTGCAGTAAAATGTCTTCAAGGTCTTGTGCATGTTGAGGTTGAGTCCATCACGTGAATCTAGTTCAACTTAGAGGATTCTGTGCTCAGAGATCACAACGACTTCTCGTGTATGAATTCATGAGTAACTGATCATTAGACCAGTGGATCTACAATGGAGACCGGAAGCAGGTTCTTGAATGGAAATGTAGAAAGAAAATTGTTCTTGATATAGCAGAAGGTTTAACATATCTTCATGAAGACTATAGGCAAAAAATCATCCACCTCGATATGAAACCTGAAAACATACTCCTAGATGAAGATTTCAATGCCAAAGTATCGGATTTTGGGTTGTCTAAGCTCAAGAGATCACAACCAATGTTGCCTTTAGATCGAGGTTCTTGTGTATCGTTGGAAATGGACTAGAAGATTGTGATGCAGACATAGGAGATGAACATGAACTTACATTATAAAAGCATAGCATTCTGATGAATTTGGATCAACAATCATCATTCCAGCAGCTCTGAAGTTATCTGACATTCCCCACTTTGAAGAATCGGAATCATACTAAACTAGAGTTGCTTTGACATGCTTGTTTGTGGCCGAAGTTGAGCTTTCCATGTAGATCCAATTATCCGATTGCAGTGAGATTCAACAGTGCAATGGGGTGAACAGGATAATATAGCAGGTGGCATGATATCAGATGCACTGTTGGTATGAGGTGCAGGTTCCATTACAGAAGAATCCACAGGCGAATGATACGTTGCGAAATTTCAAAACTATAGAAATACTGTCTGTTACCAAAGATATACCATCTTCAGTCCAAAACTGCAAATACGCGAAGCAAAAAAGTAAAGAAAAGGAACGAGAGAAGAGAGACTCACAGCGGATTTCAATAACCTTCTGCTTCTTCTTAAGTCATGAGATTCGATTAAGGAATCGCTTTTCAAAACCGAGCTTGAAGATGGTTAGGTCAATAAGGGGTGCTATTTTATAGACATTCGATACTTCATTCCACTTTTTCTTTTTGTCCATCACTATTCGTATTCACCCATACCACTTTTGCTATTTTACAACACTCCATACTCCATACTCCGTTACACTTTTTGCTTTTTGTCATCACTATTCAGTATTTTACCCACGCCCCTCTTGCTATTTTACAGACACTCCATACTCTATTCCACTTTTCGTTTTTATCCATCACTATTTACTATTTACACATGCCACTTTTGTTATTTACAGACACTCCTTACTCCATTCCACTTTTCGCTTTTTGTCCATCACTATTTAGTATTCACCCATACCCATGCCATTTTTGCTTTTTGTTTATTTAGTATTCATCCATTCCACTTTTGCTTTCTTTTTTCTTCTAAATCACTCTTCACAATTCAGTATTAAAAAGGGGGTTCGGGTTGGACAACATTATTTTCCATTTTCAAACTATGTTGTATTGTTTCAATTTTTAATAAAAATAATAATTTTAAATTTTAACTTTTTTTTATTAACAAAATAACAATCAAAAAACAGAAATTAGTAATCTAACCATAATCTAACCATATATATATATATATATATATATATATATATATATATATATATATATATATATATATATATATATATATATATATATATATATATATATATATTGAAAATGGAAAATAATATTGCCCAACCCGAAGCCCCTTTTTAATACTATATATATATATATATATATATATATATATATATATATATATATATATATATATATATATATATATATATATATATATATATATATATAGAGAGAGAGAGAGAGAGAGAGAGAGAGAGAGAGAGAGAAAAGGATAGCCAAATTTCTATGAGGATGATGAGATGGCAGAAATTGTAGTTGATACTGGATTACTAGTCTAATATTGTATTACTATAAATCATAGAGAAATAAAAGAAAAATTAAGTTGAGAGGCAAAATAATCATTTTAAATTAAAAAATGAAACCGGGGGAATGAAAACAACAACAGAACTCTTTTTTGGACCCAATTCCAAACAAATGGACCAGATTTGTAAATTTATCGAAAAGTTTAAATATAGAAAATGTGCAGTGACTTGGAAACAACGAGGAATACGATATACCACATGATTTTTCCACCATTTAACGAGAGGTAGACTTGGCCCGAAATGAGTCAATTGTAGCATGTACTTGAGCTTTTGGAACCTCCTCATATGTTAGCTTAGATAATTATTTCATATGTTTAATTTCATATATTGTTGTGGGTTAATTATTTAGTGATGAGGGCAGCTTGGATCTGTAACTTTTTCTTTGGCTTCTTTCTCATCTTCTCATCCATCCCTGCTCAACGTGATTACTTTTCTGCAGATCTTTCGACCACATGGATCAACGATGAATCTTCTAACCCTTCCTCCACTTCCTCAGATGCCACAAGCGTCACAGTCATTCTTCTTGAAAATTACAGCTCTAGCAGTTACGGATTCACTTGTGGCTTCTTCTGTAATGGAGCCTACACAATTTACCTCTTTGCCATTCTTCTCAATCAATATGATCCAAGAGTCATATGGTCGGCCAATCGAGACAATCCGGTCAGTAAAGGTGCAATCCTGAATTTCACTGCAGCGGGAGAATTGGTGTTACAGGATGCCGATGGAAGCATAGTTTGGACAACAAACACTACAGGGAAATCTGTTGCTGGAATGAAGCTAAATGATAATGGAAATCTGGTATTGTTTGATAGCCATAACTCGATGGTTTGGCAATCTTTTGATCACCCAACAGAATGTTTGGTGAAAGGGAAAAAATTATATCAATTACAGAAGCTCATACCTAGTGAAGATATGCAATCACATGGTATAGAAGTTACAGAGATGATGAAAGTGGCTTCATGGTGTTTGCAGACTGATTTTACGAGAAGACCTTCAATGTCATATGTGGTGAAGGTGTTAGAGGGAGTAATGAATATTGAATCGAACTTGGATTACAATTTCTTGGATCCAAGAGTGCAGAAAACAGCAATAGATCATGAGAAGATCTCGAAACCAATGTCGCCTTCCATTCTATCAGGGCCAAGGTGAGTTAGAAGAGTTAGAATAAGGTTCTTGTTGATCAATTCTTAGGATCCTTATAATGCTTTTGTCTTTGTTTTTTTCAAGAACAATTAAAGTGAAACTTATGAACGCATTTCCTTCCAAGAGATATCCATCTCTTTATGTTGGACGGAGTGGCAGCGGGTTGGTGGCTCTTATGCACATCTTGTAGAACCAATTCTCCGATCGCAATGAGATCCAGTATTGCACAGGTGCCAATATGATAGTCTGGGTTAGCACACCAAATGACTAGATGGAACCTATAGCAGGTGGAAACGATATTCGATGGTGGAGGGTCCATTGCAGAAGAATTTACAAGCAAATAATGTGGTGCCAAATTCCAAAATTATAAAAAGAAATTATCGATTACTTAGAGGATATCATGTTCTTCTCAAAGCAAACATAAAAAACTGCAATAAATTGACCAAAAATAAGAAAGAAAAGGGAAAAAAGAAAGAGACATGCAGTAGAGTTCTCGAGCATAGATAAAAACCCTGCCACTGATAAATTTTCACCTACTGATTATCCCTATTCATGAAAATCAATTGAGGGGATGGCTTTTGATCAACCGAATTTTAAATGGAAATCCAAATGCCCCATTCCTAAATATTATTATCTCTCTTCCAAATTAATTGTCTATACTTAATTTTTGAAGTATTTATTCTTCAATTTTAACTTTAAATATTTTTTTTTGATAGATAATACTTGATGCAAAGTATAAATGAATTATATTTTAAATGTTTTTTCATTATTGTAAGTTTCATCAAGTAATATATAACACAAATAAAAATATTTAAGATCAAAATTGAAGAAAAAAAGTTCAAAAATCAAAAGTTGACAAATAATTTTGGACAGAGAGAGTATAAGGTTTAAGTTTTGAAAATGGGTTGCAATTAGGTCAAACTATAACCATCAGGTGATGAATGTCGTAGAAAAGTGGTCTTCGGTTTTGGATTGTCAAAGTTTACAAAAAAAACTTTAGGTTTGCTTAATGTCATGAAAGAAATATAAATAATTAAATATTGCACAAATACTTTTGGAGATTAAATATCTTCCTATCCATTTGAAATGATGATAAATGTATTAAAATATTATTAATTTTATCTAAATATGAAACATATCATCATTTTATATGGATAAGAAGAAAATATAATATGATATTTAATTTCTCTTTTTTTTTTTTATATCAAAACCATAAAAAATGTCTTAATTATTTTTGTAATTTTCTCAAACGTTAAATATATTTAAAACACAAAAGATTAAAAAAAAAAGCAACTGAGTCATTCTATGTCTTATAGAAAAACATATAACTAAGTTTGTAATTTACTCAAAAATAATTTACCTTGAGATGTGAGCTTGAATTAATGACAGTAAAAAAAACAGTTCAACTTTCGATTGCAATAACGACAGAAGAATGATTCAAGCGACTGAACTTCAATTTTTTGTAGGTATGTATAGATTATAATTCATACCCTAATGATTGTATATTGGTTTTTTTTTCTTTAACTAACTAATGATTAGATTATAATTATACATTTTATATTTATTTACTTCATGATAATATAATAATGTTTATAATTTTTTATCTATTAGATTGTGGGGTGTGGTAATGATATTACAGCCAGTATGCATACGTGGAGCATATTACTGCCGATGAACACCACCCCTTATCCATTTGATTTGTCGCGAGTAGCTTTCATCGGTGAAAGTATATCGATTTCTCTTTCCTCTTTTACCATTCAAACCAGGGGCGGAGCTACTATGTAGCCCGGGGTAGCCCGGGATACCCCTCCAATTTTCTTGTCAAATATAAATTTCGTGTGTTTTTTTTTCGGAAATCCGTCACAAATCCGTTGGAAATCCGTCACAATTCGTCACTAATCCGTCAGCAATCCATCACAAAGCCTGATAATTATAAATTTAGTGTAAATTCACTGGTTTAGTGACGATTTTGTGACGAAAACTTCTTTTGGTAACAAAAAATTTCTAATAGTGCAACGACTAAAGAATTTGTGCAACTCCTGATTTTTCTTTCTCGGTCCGCTAGTGATTCAAACTCTCTATTTCTTACTCATTCACTCTAATCATTTTGTCATTGGAAAAAATGACACTATCATCTTATGTATCTAATGGTAAAAATTGTGTGACGCTTATGTATCTAATGGTAAAAATTGTGTGACACTACATATGTAGTGATAGTGAGCGAAGATAATGATGTCGTTGCGTTGGAAAGTGTTGATTTTGTGACGGAAACTTCTTTTGGTAACAAAAAATTTCTAATAGTGCAACGCCTAAAGAATTTGTGCAACTCCTGATTTTTCTTTATGGATCCGCCACTGATTCAAACTCTCTATTTCTTCCTCATTCACTCTAATCATTTTTGTCATTGGAAAAAATGACACTATCACCTTATGTGTCTAATGGTAATAATGGTAAAAATTGTGTGACACTACATAGTGATATTGAGCGAAAATAATGATGCGGTTGTGTTGGAAAGTGTTGATTTGGATTCCATTCAATTCATAAATGCTAGAATGTATTACAACTTTTTTTTTTAATATTTAAGTTTTATGGTATTTTGATATTAGATGAATTCAATTAAAATTTTGAATATTTGGTATTTTTATTCATTGTTGAACACAATTAAACTTTGTATGTTTAGTATTAAATATTAATTGACTAGAGAGTTGGGGTTTGAGGAAAAGTTGTTAGAAGTGAATAACAAGTTATAAGAGTGTATAAATTTTGATTCCATTGTTAACACATGTAGTCATCATCATCATGCAACAATTGAATTTTAGACAAAGATGGACGATTCCATATCTTTTCTACAAAAAGAAGGTCAAGTACATTCTCATCATCATAACTCATTGCAAAGTTCTATCCCTCCCTCCCTCCTAGTTGATTAGTTTCTCATCTCTTACCATATTTACAACGTTTACTTCTCTCGTCATTATTTATTCTCCAAACATTTACAAAACTGATCATTACCTTATTCACCTACAAGCAAGCTTTATCTTACTTCTTATGTTTTCTTTATAGCTTGAAGAAGAAAGGAGCATATTTCAGTTTAAATCAGCCACTTGATCGATTCGCACCTCCATTTATAACCCATGGATGCCCTTCAAGAATATTCAACAAAATCATTCAATCATTACCCAACAAACACTCACAGATTTTCAAATTATGAAAATAAACCTTAGAAGAAAACGAGATATATGTCTTACTTGAAACTTGTTCGACTGAAAATCGCCTAGAAGCATCCTTGCAAAGCATTTTCCGCAACAGATCCTTCGCTTCAGGTGAAACTGACCTGAAAATTCTCGCCGGAAACCTTAAATTCCCTCGCAAAACAGCCTCAAATGTCTCAACCGACGTTTCACCATAAAACGGAGGAACTCCGCCTAATAAAATGTACAGAATCACACCGGCACTCCAAACGTCGACCTTCTCATTATACTCTCTCCCCAACAAAACCTCCGGTGCAACATAGTACGGCGTGCCAACTACTCCGGTCATCGTTCCACGTTCAGTCATCCCGAACCACTCCGCCGATCCGAAGTCCGCCAGCTTCAATTTCCCGGTTGAATCAAATAACACATTATCCGGCTTAATGTCCCGATGTGCAATGCCTAATCTATGACAATAACTAATCGCTTCAATCAACGGAGTGAAAATCGAAAGCGCTTCAGACTCTGAAAACGCGCCACCGCGTTTCGAGATGCGATCGTAGAGATCCGGACCATCACAAAGATCAACCACCATATGGATCCATTTCTCGTCTTCGTAGAGACGATGAATCTGAATCACATGAGCTTTTCCGGCGAGGACGCGGAGGACTTTCGGCTCTCTGTTGACGCATTCCCGATCCGTGGAGTCAGAGAGGAGACGCTTGTCAATCGATTTACATGCAAAAGCTTCACCAGAAGTTAGTGAAAAACAACGATATATGATCCCGAACTGACCTCGGCCGAGTTCTTCACAGAGCTTGTAATCGTTCTCCAAGCTCTCTGGCATGGCTGTGGTCGTCACATTAACTCCGACGGCTGTTAATGAAGAGAGATTTAGAGAGAAGATGGAGGAGAGCGGTGAAGTCCAGGTTGCGACTGTGTGAGGGAGAGAGTGGTTATAGAGAGAGAGGAAGTGAGCAAACAAATAGTATGCGAACGGTTAAATTCGGTACAGGTTTTAGGCGTGAGGTGACACGTGCCGTAAAAGACTGGTGTTTTCTCACGTGGACTGTTGGTAATTGATATGACAAATTTGCCCTTTTGTGATGTACACGTGTCCTGGTGTCGCAGAGTACATAGGCGATGAGAGGTGATGTGTATCTCGTCCTTGTAGTTTGTGTAAATGCTACTTACAGCCGTTGCAGTTTAATACCTTTTTTTCTATATAAAAACTGCAACATATATGCATTGACGTGTCTATTTTTTATTATTATTCATTTGTAAAATATATTTTTATTGAAAGTATGTATGCACAGCTGTACCCCAAAATAAATTTTATATATTACACTTTATATATTAATTTTCTATATATAAATAATATTAATTATCTTGCACCCATAGTTTGAAACCTCTAATTATCCCCTGCAACCCCTGCTGTAAAATCCTACGTCCGCCTAGTTTTTTTTCTTCTCATGAATCAAAGCGATCTTATCAAGAGTTTAGAGACAATAACAAGGTCGATTCCACCATCCATTTGAAAACTTTAAAAAAATAAAAAATAAAATTCTAATTTCAAGAGGCTTCATGCTTTTATCCATATTTTGATTGTTCAAATGTTATTTTAAATTTTGATTATGTTTGTATCCAATATTAAAATTTCTGACTCCGCCATTGTGTATACATATATGGATATCAAAATAATAGACATTATTTGTTCTCAGATTGCTTTTATATTAGCTGATACATAATAGGTTTAGTCTACGATAAAAAATCTAACGATTAATGAGTGAAATTTCACTCATGAGCTTTATCGTTCACACCTTGAAACACATAAAATATTATTAGTTACATTTATTGATCTTATATATGGGCTTTATAATTAGCTAATTGTGAGCCTTTAGATGGTACAATTTACAATTTATACAATAGGCTTAAAAAATCGAAAACAAGCATAATAACAACTCATTTCACCTTGTTTTAATATTGATATACCATCATAAAATAACACGAAGTAGCTAAAAGATGAATAAGAAAAAAGTACATCTCAATAATAAATACGTATTGGGTGTGGATGATAAATTATTCATAATATGAAAATATCTAATCATGTTTATGAAATTGAGGGACTGTTACGCAATTAAAATTGTTCATGAAAAGCGTTGGGTTTTGATTTGTTGGATGTCACGTGTGTGATAAGTGGAAAATGACAAATTTGTCATATCTCATTCCCATCGTGGACTCCGTGTCAATATAGGTAAACAGGAGTTGTCGACCACCTTATAACAAGACGAGTAATATGTAAAGTGTAAACTAGCTTTTTTATACATTTTACTTGGTAGTTATTTTTAAGGTAATTTACGGGTTTCCTTTTTATTTTTTAAAAACTACGTAGTTTGTATA